ACTCATAGCGACCCCTCCTTGGGCTTCCGAGGCAGTATCACTACGGAAGTAGGATTGCCCAACCTTCCTTCTGAGGAGTGGCTGGCGGTTCAAACCCACCAGCCTTCTGGTTAGCAGTCAAGTGCTTTAGCCACTATGCTACCAGAGCTCCTATTTAAGTATAAGGAAGCGCAATTTATATTCACGAATCCCATTCATTTCTCAATCTGGCAAGACATTTACACCTGGAATGGTTAAACTGGGGAGTAACCCATTTCTTTAAATAATGATGTCACAGGAGGTGCCAAAATGGTCCTTAAGACAGGAGATTGTCTGGAAAGTGAACCTGAGCTCTACTCCAGGAACAGACACACAGAAATGAGATAGCAGTGACCTAAGAATGAACCACCAGTGTCTGCCAGGGACACAACACACCCAAGGCAGCTATAACAGCACTGGTGGAAACCTGCTTATCTTGTCAATTCAAAGGAGAAATGTGTTCCATTTTGTCAATTCTTAGCTGTGAAATGATTACTTTTTCATATTTATTGAGGATTAGCAAGGTAGAATGCATCTTACAAAACAGAAACAGTATCTACCCCATAGGTTGGCTATGGAGATGATAAAGATATTAGCTATTTTCACACTTCTTTTTTAGTCAAGATTGATTCAATTTTAAAATCATTGTGGCATTCATTTTCTGAAAGTAAAAAGGTTAGGAATGGACAAATGCCTCCTAGCAATTAAAAAAATGCAGTCTACTAAGAGTGAGACATTGTAAGATTTAGAATGTTTGAATCTTATAAATCTGGACATTTTGGTTTCCACCAAAATACAACAGTTATTGAATATTACTTGTGGTTTGAGGATAGCTTGTTAATATTCAGGCAGAACAACATTTCTCTTAATGCATGGTCATTAGGAAAAATCAGAAAATGGATAGCTTAAACAAACAAAACAAAACAAAAAAACTCACTGCCCCTGAGCCAATTCTGACTCATAGTGGCTCCCACTGAGTTACCAAGGCTATACATCTTTAAGGAAGTAG